TGGATGTTGCGATGAGCTTCCCCCTCACCCTCAACCATGTCTTCGAGGCCATCCAGAACTCAACCATCGATCTGCCCACCGACATGCTTGACCATACGGTGGCCGTAACCCCACAACCAGAAGAAGCCTTCGGGTCAGTGATGCTGATCCCGGCGTGGGTCAGGATGTCTGGCAAGACAGCTGTGGTGCTGGATGGCAGAAGAGTGGGAGCAGGCATCTTTGCGGCCTACTTCGAAGGCCCCCTGACGAGACGAGCCCTCCTTCACAAAGTTGGCATGGGAATGGATGAGGGCATTTCCGTGTTCCTGTTTGGCTCGTTACAACCGATGAATGATGAGCAGCGGGAACCTCCAAGTCAAGGAGGACTTATCCTTTTCCTCCGGCGTGGGGAAGTTCCGGAATGGGCCACGGAGCTTGAGGATAGACTGACTGACCCCACCAGATGGAGACCTGAAGTTGATCATCCTCAACATCTACCAGGACGTCACATTGAATTCCAAGGAGAAGAACAAACGTTTCTTCACCAGCTGGACAGGAATGCGGCGCCGGACCCGCAGCGAATGGCGGATCATGCCTTTGGGGCCCATCAAGGGGAAGTGTGGCTTAGAGCCCCCACCCAGAGACCTATGAGGATGTACGCCAGGGGAAAAAGAGTTCATTCGATCATTGCGGTGCTCAGTGCTGCACGGTATCCCAGGGACAACACGAAGGTTGTGTTCCTCGACACCAGACCCATCGGGCTCTGGCCGCAATGGGTCGCTATCCCTGGAGACCTACTGGACCCGGGAGCGTATGCAGAGGGACTCCAAATTCCCTATATCGAAGGCTACTCCTTGATCATCAAGGGAGGGCAACGACATCGAGATGGAGTCAGGATCCGGGTTCTGGACGGAGAGGTCATTGAGTTCCTCCTGAAAAGATCTGATGAGGTCACGCCTACGTCGTCTAGCCTAGAGCCGGACTCTAGTGATGACGACGATGACCACGGCGGGGACGATGGGGACGACAACGATCACCCCATGCCAAACTCCAGTGACTTCTCGGACCCCTCACCGCCAGCTGGAGAAGGACCTTACGGACCACCGCCCCCCCGTCCGGTCAACGAAGAACGTAGTCGCTCCCCTAGAAGAGAGGACCGCAACCATGGAGGCCAACCAGGTGAAGATACAAGTGAAGGTCGCCATCTACGACTGAGTGACCATGTGCCACTGCCGGTCTACGACCTCACGGATCAGTACATTCCACTGCCCCACAATGAAGAAGACCTTTGGGCCCTCTGCAAGCCATGGGGAAATGAATGGATTGTACAGCAAATACCCGAGCTGAATTGGCATCCAGCCACTGCCAGCGAACTCCATGGACAGATGGCATGGTCAGACCTGTTGGCGGCCAACAGCGGGGAGCACGTGGAACTTTGCCTCTACACGGACGGTTCTGCTGACCTCAAAGCGGGCCAAAGTGGTTATGCGGTGACGATACTCCTCAAGATCGGAGCTGCGGCTGCCGTCTTTGGGATCCTAGGAGGGCAACTACATGGGAATGAGCAATCCCTGTGGGAAGAAACCAATCAACCCTCGCTCGGTGCAGAGCAAGTTGCACTGGCTGCCGCACTACTTTGGATCCTCCAGCTGAAAGCGATGCTGCAGAATGTGAAGGCCACCATCTCCTATGATTGTTATGCTGCCGGAAAGGCAGCAGATGGACAATGGGAAGCGCCCAACGAACTAGGAATACGGACCTTCCACCTGTACCATGCGATCACTGCCCTTCCGGGCATAGAGCTGGAAATGAATCATGTCAAAGGACACAGCGGGCATCCGTGGAATGAAATGGCGGACTGCATTGCGAGAACTGCGGCCAAGGACAGGGATATCTTTGTCGGCCCCCCACCGGAAACCATCCACACTTTCTTGAAACTGCAGCTGCAATGGTTGGCACCGGCGATCAAAGCCGCAAAAGATGGTGCCCTACCGGTACGGCATGGATACCTTCAATGGAGCGGCCAGCCCTTCCACGACCACTGCCTGGCCCCCAACGATATCATCCCAGTGCAGGAAGGCGGGGCCGACGTGAACGGACAAAACCCGGCTTTCCGAACTAGGGCAGCCACCATCAACATCCAAGGCATCTCGGGCAACCACCGATACATTGAGGAGCAATTGAATGACCTTGGGGTCAACCTGGTCTTCATGCAAGAGACCAAGGAAAGACAAGGGATGATACGCGGGCCCCACTACCTGAGATTCTCCACCGAATCGGAAAGACACTTTGGTGTGGCCATATGGATCCACCGGACCATGGGCCTCCTCAACATTGATGGGGAGACGAAACAGGTCGAGGAGCAGAACGTGGTCACCCTGCTCCAAGGACCGCGTATTCTGGCCCTAAAGATCACTCTTCAGGAAGTGAAGATTGCCCTGATCGCCTCCCACTGCCCCCACGCTGGCCGAGCTGCAGAGCGAGATGCTCATCTACAGGAACTCAAGAAGCTGGCCGGCCAGGCCAAAAACATGACGCTGGTCGTGATCGGGACCGATCTCAACGGAAGGTTACCACCGAACTACCGGCCGGCGACGGGGCCCCTTGAGTTTGACGAGCCCGACCGAACAGGTGAAATCATGGCTGACATCATGGCCGAACAAGGACTGTGGGCGCCCTCG